CCCATTCCAGCACTGGAATCAAAATAACTTGAGATGGAAAACGTGTGACCTCCCAAGCCTTTATTTACAGTGTCACAAACCACAAGGGAAGGATCTGTCCAAGTTTTCCAGCTGGAATGAGAACAGCAGGGAAAAACATGCCCTCATTTTTGCAGCCGTGATATTTAACACATCACAGGGGAGAAGAATGGGGAGGAGGTAGGAGAGTTAGAAGCAAGTAATGATGCCATGGAAATTCAGACGAAGTGGTCTCAGCCACACAGGTACGTTCACGCAATTACATCCTTTCTGCCCAGAACTAAACAAGAGCTTTGTACATGCACATGTAATTGCAAAACCTGTCCGACACATGTTTAATGGGGTTACTTCTTGACTGTTACATTACACAAGGTTGTAAAATATAGAAACCTTCTGGACTTCACCTCAATTAGGGCTGTAATGATCTCTCTTCATGCTGCCATCCCCCAAATTAGTACAACAAAGACTTTGTCAAAAACAAGAAACTTAGAAACAGTAGAATCTCCCTCAGATATTTAAACAGCACAGACAAACATACACGAACGAGGTTTAGACCTATAGAAAGTTACTTGCAGCAGGAAACTGTCAGTTAGTTTGTGGTTACAACCACACCAGTGTCACAGCTCTTTCCTCCCAGTTAAACACGTATGTCCAAACAGTTCCTCATGTCTAGTGTTTCTATTGTAAAAGGAGGAAAACAACTGAAAAACTCATCCGTATTTCCACTAGAAATTTCATAGTGCCAGACTACACAAGAGACTATCTTTTCAGAAAAGGGATCCAAACATTTATATCATAGACTGTCAGGTCTAACTCGGTTTACCTGTAACTATCTCCTACCTTTAAAGAATCCATTCCCCCTCCCTCACCTATTAGCAGCTCCCCCTTCTCCCTGCCTGGCACTATAACAAGCACCACACTAACCCACAACCTTTACATGTCGAGATAGGGGAATGCCACAATTGTACTGCTCTGTTACACTGCCGAACAGGGTTCCTCTCCTCGCCAGTAAAAACGCAGCCGTCACTCAGCTCTCTGAAGTGTTATCACCTTGATCTAACTCACTGTAAAGTGTTTTGCAGTATAGTCTATGAAGGATCCAACATGAGCAGAGATTTCTCTGCATTTGGTTGGTTTCCATAAACTCATCCCTTAAAAGGGGAACAGTTCTCATGTCATGGGTCTCACAGTAAGTCCCCTGGTTAAGTACAGGATGCAGGAAAATCAGATGCAGCCCCAATTTGTGTCCATATAAAACAGGCACAGGGCTCTGGAAGGGGAACAGCTTGTCACGTTACACAGCCAGAGGTGGAAATGTACCTAAAAATCACAGCACAGCATGGCACAGGCACAAAGGCAGGTGTTTCAGGCAAGGCAGGGAGTACCAGAAGGGCATTAGAAGGCACTAATTGCAAAGCAAACCTGTGCTTCCTTTTGACAGGTCACCATACACTCCTTCGGCGATGTGCACAAATTGTTTAGAGGGGACACCACTTCCCAAGTGCACAAGATCTCTGTCCTGAGCCTACCTCACATTCTCACGCTAAGGCACCCTGTAACTCCACCTGCTTTCACCTCACCTACTTTCCCCTCTCCTACACACCAGCCTCCTGCCTAATTGTCAGTCTCTGCCTCTTCTTACAGCGAGAAACACTCACTCCTCATCCCATCTGGGCTTCTGCAGTTGCAGGACCGGTGGAAACAAAAAAGCACTGCAGTGTCCCTGGACTGCTAGAAGCGAGGATGCTGAGGGACAGGTACCTCCTCATTCTGCATCAGCATTCTCCATCTCCCCCCACTGCTTCTTGCCAAGGTCCCACTGCCATGCTTGGACCATCGCAGGCACTTACAGCTTGCGTATGCACACATGCCCCTCAGAACCTGCTCTGCCTTTCTGCTTGCACCAGAGATTGAGGATGTTTCCCTAGATTTTGAAGTAATTTGAAGTAATTTGGAAGAAAATACTCCCAGGTATAACTTGTAGAGGAACCTCCTCCCATCATTTTCACTCAGTCCAGCAGTTCGGATTCAAAGCCTTCAGGTTTGGAAAAACAAAAGGACTGCACACAGATGCTGGCAGAACAGAGGGGAAAATTACCTGGTGCCTACAGCATTTTCATGGACATTTCTATTCAGCTTTTTGTTTTCATGAACACTGCATTCCCCGACAAGGTTTAAAACCCATTCTTCTCCCTACGTTCCTTACTTGCCAATCCACAGACGTTACTTGCTCTCTAGTGACGCAAGCCTCACAGATTCATTTTGCTGCAAACACAATTCCGAAGGCAGTTTCCCCTCACCTGACCAGGAAATTAATGACCATTTGGGCACCTCTCCTGCTGAGGATCATCAACCCTGTGAAGCCCTTCAGACAAGTGAAATGAATAGAGCCACAGCCCCAGGGCAAAGCAAACCCTCGACACTGCTAAGGATTCCATTTCTTTGCTGTTACCACTAATTCAGAGAAACACACTGTCCTCTACAACAGGGAAGCAAAGGGGGAGAGCACGATCTAAAGCAAGGGAGGCAAGGCTCCTGGGGCACAGATGTTCTCCCCCAGCACAGAGGCACAAATTCATAAGGCAATTAATGCCTCTACGAGCATAAAACTCCTCTGTTCAAGCTGCTGACAGCAGCTTTGTTCCCAGAGAGACCTGTCCACAGCTCCTTCAGAGCGCTGCGGTGAGCAGAAAAGAAGCCGCCGGGCTCTCTCCCGAGGAAATCAGGGATGCCACAGCGGGACAAGCTGCAGCGCTGGGAGCAGCCTACCCAGACTGGCCCTCGGCTCTGCTAATCCTGAAGAGAGAGGCTTCAGGAAGGGAATCAACATGGGGAATAGTGATGAATTCAGTGGGAGCCAATTTCCCGACAGGAGATAATTAAGGTATTCAAATCACCCTTAGTTTTCAAGGATTTCTGGTACAGATATTGCATGTTAATACAGAGCTGGTGTCACTGCGGTTTCAGTGTAACAGCTGCGGCCCTGAGGTATAAATCCAGAGAAACTGAAAACATATTTCAGCCTGATAAGTGAACAGTCTCAGATCCAAACTCATTTATCCTTTCCCCGTTCTTCCCAGCAATTCATTGCTCTTAAAGCAAAAAAACAGCAGTTTTTGAGTTTTAGCATCCAGCAGCAAAAATGCAAAGTGACTATACCACAGTATCACTGCAAAGAGAAACACTGAGTGAAGTTAAGAGTTAAAAAATCACCCTTTCTAATAGAGGGAAAAAATCTGTACGGTGAGGAATGTACTGGAGGAAAATAAGAAGATGCAGAATTACACAGTCTAAAGGCTGACACCCCATCTACTGAAAAAATCCTGTTCAGCCACTGATTTTATAGGCAGATTTAACACTCTGATATACATGATATACATTTCTAGAATTCACACAAAAAAGGTTTGGTGAGAGCTGGACAAACACAGTGAACCCACAAGCAACACTCCAAAGGTTACAGCATAAGAGAGCAGCAAATACATTCAGAAAAAGCATAAAATCTCTTAAAATTTACTTCTTAAACACCACAGGTTACTTGCTTCCCCATCTACACTTTTACTGGGGAAGTTTTGCATGTCAATCCTTTTGGCAATGTAAAAGCAAATTAAGAGTTGAGGGCCAAAAAAGGTAGAAATTAACAATTTTATGGTAGTATCAGAGGCTGCACACTGTTTATTTCAACAGAAATAAAATGCAATAAAGTTAAGATTTTTTGGGGAAAAAGACCCGCACAAGATTTAAATATACACACAAAAATAAATGTTAATTGCACATCCTGTGCAGCCATTCCCCCTTTTAATTTATTTGTTTAAAGCATTTTAAATAAACAAGGATGCTAACTAAGCAGAAAAAGGCAGGGAGCGTGAGTTTTCTTTTTAAAGAGGTTTATAACAATACACATGTCTACGCAATTTAAGCCAACCGTGTCCTGTGACTGCCAAGTCCTTCTCAGAGGCAACTCATACAGCCATTCTTCCAGACTCCATTTTATCACGTTTCCCCCAGGCATCTATTCAAGTGGAACCCAAGCTAAGGTTAATCCCCACTCTTACCAGCAGTAAGTTAGTATCCATCAGACTCATTACCATTCTCCCTAGTAACATCTACATTGGGTTTTTTTAATATAGAAGAAAAAGAGCAGCCCTCCAGCTGAAATGCCAGAACCTACCTTCTGCAAAAAATCTCTCTAGATGCTCTAGAATGCAGGAGGGAGTGAAGACAGCATTGCTGAAAAAGGATGTCACTGTTGGTCCACATGTGTCAACATCCTAGAGAAAGATAAAACATAGTTGCTTAACTGCCATGCCCATGGGAAATCAACAGCAAGAATAAAGCTGCATTATTTTCACAGTTACACCATGCTAATGGCTCCTATGCAAACAACATAAAGCTACAACATTTTATAATTGCACATCAGAGTTTCTCTGCAGACATCCCTCCGGTATGTCAGAAATTCAATACGTGATAGTAGGCGGCAATGAGCACCTCAGGGATTTAAAGTGCGTTCCAAGCCATGAGTCATCGTCATCTCTAACTCATGGAAATTAAAAAAAAAAAAAAAAAAAAAAAAAAAAAAA